TACAAGTAAAAACAAATGCTAGAGGCTCAGAAGGGCAGCAATCAGTAGCAAAATGAACTGCAGTGCTGGAGGCCAGATGGCCACCTGCAGGTTCAGACCCCAGGCTGGCCTAAAAAAAACACCCTGGGCATGTGCCCAAATCCTGACAAGCCAGAGGGCCAGGGAAAGGGGAGTGTGATGAGACTGAGTGCCCACTCTGTGCACCCACCACACTATCATGAATATAATACACTTTATAAAAACAAAACACCAAACGCTAGAGTCTCTTATGTCAAGATGTTTACAGCATTGGGGTAAGATATGTATCAAATGTAATGTTAAAGACAAAGTAGGGTCAGCTCCATGGCAAAGCAGTAATGAGTTGCTTAAGAGAGCAGGATCCCACATGGCGACCTCAGTTTGAACCCCAAGTCTGGATGGCTTGAAACACTCTGGGTACACATGTGTGTGCCCAGGAATTGATACGGTAGAGTAGAGGGATTGTGGCCTGACCAGACTGGTGGAAGGTGGTCCCCCTCACCACCTTCACTCACTCCACTTATGTGTGCTCTATCATCAATAAAAAAAAAGACGAGGCACAAAGTTTTTGTTTTTGTTTTTAAATATAAACTGTTATGTGCCCAATATTTCAATCAACTGTCTTGGCCGAGCATTTCTTGGTATGGAAGCATGACAAACAATGGTAGCCAAAACAGAGGAATTGCTAGTCCAACAAATGACACTGATAATTCTAATAACTGAAAATCACAATGAAAAGTTAAATTAAAAATCTGTGAAAATAAGAGTATTACCATATCTATTACCTGATTTTTTGGGGCATCATATTAGTAGCATTTCATTGTAAAATGTAAAAACCATTTATTTCCAAAGAGTGCAAATATATACAGGGATGCTCAAGACTAAGTTACTAAAACAGAAAAAAATAACCCCAAAACACCCAAAAAGTCAACAAATTGGAATCCATAAATACTAACGTATGTCCTCCCCAAAAGACTATGTAGCTACTAAAAAAATAAGGCAGATCTACTGTTCCTGACATGGAAAGATGTCCGTGATTTCTTTTTTTAATAGCCAGAGGGCACGTGCACTGACCAGAGAGACACAGAAACAGAGTGGGAGGAGAAAGCACCCTCAATGGGGAATAGTCATGTCACAATTCCTTCTCCTCCATCCTGTTGGGATTTTGGGTGAGTGCACATCCACGCACATGCACATACACACACACACAGCCCCCCAGCACATTTTCTAAACTGCAGAGGCCAGGATACAAATTGTGGCCAGTCATGTGGGATCTGGTTCCCTTAACCACTAGGCGATGGGGTCAGCCCAAGATGTCCATGATTTCTCAAGTGAAAAGCAAAAGCCAAAAAATAAAAAGTTCCATTTTAATAAATAACTAT